TTATTCAGTTCAATTTACAAGAGAAGGTAATAGGTAAAATTACTTTAATGTATTTTTGCTAAAAAAAATGTCTTAACTATGCACTTTGATTGCTCAAAACCAGAATTTTTTTTAGTCCTACTTGTGTAATCAGGTCGTATTTTCATTCAACCATAACTGATTTCTGATTTTTTTTATTTTTATTTTTTCCTGCTTCAGATTCGACGGCTGAGGATAGAGATTGAAAAACTCCAGTGGCTTCATCAGCAGGAGTTATCAGAGATGAAGCACAATCTGGGTTGGTGTCCAACTACTGGGTGACTATAACTTCTATCCATCTGTTGTATCAAGCATGGTTTAAGGTGTATTTGTGCACTGACCGCAGAGCTGACGATGGCAGAGATGAGGCAGAGTCTGGAGCAGGAAAGGGAACGTTTGGTGGCTGAGGTGAAGAAGCAGATGGAGCTGGAAAAGCAGCAGGCAGTGGATGAGACCAAAAAGAAACAGTGGTGCGCCAACTGCAGGAAGGAGGCCATCTTCTACTGCTGCTGGAATACCAGCTACTGTGATTACCCCTGCCAGCAAGCACACTGGCCTGAGCACATGAAGTCCTGCACACAGTCGGGTAAAAATGTTTTCTCTGTTTTGGATTTGGTTTGGATTTTCAAACTAAAACTTAATTATAAAGCCTGTTGCTGCTGCAGCTTTTAAACTCTTAACTGATTTAGAGAAATCGAATGCTTCATTGTAGAACCCAAAATGATCATATTGACGGTAGTCTTATTATCAGAGATTTTGACTGTGTAATTCCTTATTCTTTTCTTTTAACCTTTGTCACATTACAAACCTACAACCAAAAACCTCAATGTATTTCATGTGCTGATGAAACTTCTTCTCATAACATGGTGCGTCCACCATCATTTTTCACAGGTATGGTGTTTGCTATTGGTTGGTTTGATAATACCAGAACACATTTTCCTATGTGTTTGTAGTTCACCACAATCAGTGAAGGAAACTGGGCAAACAGGTTTTATAGTTTTCTCATTGCCAATTCTCAATAAAGAGCAGATTTATGGAGTGCATAGCGGCGGTTATCCCACCTCAGCTGTGGTTTTCTTCAGGTTCTTCAAAGTTGCCATGAGCCTCTTAAATCCTCTGATTGTTTCTATTCTTGGCTAGGCTGATAAACCAGACTAAATGTGTAATTAAGTCTGGCCCCAATGAATGACACATCAGAATGTTGTTGATGAGAACAACTCGTCTGTGCTTATTGGACAGAAAGCTGGTGGGGGAGTGTAAACAAACAGCCTGTCGGTAAAACGGCAAATATGTTCTTATTAAAAATTAATGAGTGTAGAGCCTCTTCCTGCTCACGTTTCAACGAAAACCCCAAGTCTAATCCTTCCAAACCTGATTCCAAAGCTGAGCCATACGAGAACTGTTCAATAGCTGTTGCCATCTTCCCTGTTGTGCTTTCTCCAGTGTCGCGCAGCTTTGTTGTCACGTCCTCAAAACCCCGCCGGCTTTGCATCCAGAAATTCTAAACACATCTCTGCGTTGTGATTGGCCAGCCAGTTCCAGGGCCTGGGGCATTGTTAGAGGCTAGTCCCACTCGCAGGCAAAAATGATTTTGGCCGCTGGCTGGTGGGGCTAGTTTACTAGGCTCATTCTTTGCCTAACCAGTCAGTCTGCTGGATGTTCTGAGCAATTGCAGTTACTCTGCTTTACCTGTTTTAGGATAAAGGACTTGCTGTCAAGCTACATAAGATGTTCAAAACATGGGATGTTAGTTTAGAACTCAGTCATGCTTCTAGACACTTTTCATCCCCAACCTGCTGTAATGCTGTTTATTCACATTAATTAGGTGACTCTTGAAAGCAGCTGATAGCTCTGGAATGTATCTAAGGGAAAAATACTTGAGCAACAGTTTTCTCATTAAAATACCGTTCCAAGTTTTTGGAATTTCCCCATTTTGTCATGTTATAACCACAAAGTATTGTGTGTGTGTGTGTGTGTTTGTATAGGTATAAGCTGATAACAGTCACAATGAGATGTTAAGTCTGCCCTCTCTCATTTTGTTTTGTTCTTTTCCAGCCACAGCATCTCAGCAGGAGCCAGAGGCGGAGCCCAGCTCAGAGGCGACGGTCAAACCATCGGGCCACTCTCCTGCTGTGCAGTCCGGTCCCCCAGCCACGGCCTCCATATCGGACAAAAGCAACTCTCCCACATATGCCGACAAAAGCAAGGACAGTTCTGGCGTCACTGTGACCTGATACACTACAGACACCCGAGTTGAGTGAATGTGAGGCAGGTGGCCTCAAAGTTGGTGCTTCATGCCCTGCACCTTTATGACAAATCACTTTTTTTTTTTTTTTTTTTTTTTTTCCATTCCCATGTGTATATCTGCTCACTGGACTGTTCTTTCTCAGTTTCCACATCTGTGTTTCAGTCAGTTAATCATGTGAAAGTAGTCTGTCTCGAGATGTAAATGTTTTAATTCGGCAGTTTTGTGTTATTGCTCCAACTGTATCATCCCAAAGGATAGATCCTACTTTCCTTTTTTTCAATGCTGCTCTACAGGACTTTGCTGCTGTTCTTTATTTTTTGTTGATTGTTCTCCATATTGTGAGACAAAACATTTGAAACAGCCTTCAACACTGATACACAAATATGGTGCCATCCCAACTATTTTGACTGAGAGGTTTCTTTCTGCGGTTTCGGACACACTTGCTCCATGTTGGGTAGTGCAGGTTTCAATGACACATTTCAGTCCATGTCAGTCGTGGCGTTTTGGTTTCATACCAGTTTTGTATTGTAGTTCTGTGATGTATAGCTACACATTTACAATAAAAAAGAAAAAGATTTATTAAAAAGACAAAATTTAAAGTGTACAGTTTTTGTATGAAGATACCTGAACGATATTTATAGTGTTACATGTTTTTTTTATAGTATTGTTTATTGCAATCACATTTCTATGTGTTTAAGAAGAGTTATTTGAAATGAAACTTCTTCACACGAATGTCAGCTCTTAGTGAAGTCTTTGTGTAGCAAGGTACCCAAAGCAGATGTAAATCCCCTCAAAAAAGTGTCCAACTGAGTAGACCTAATTATAAATCTCTTTTTGGCCATATATTTCCTGTGAGCATGTTTGTGTTGAGCTTTGTCTTGTTACTGTTTACATATTGTAAATAGAATAAATGGACTTGTGAAGAAAATGTTGCTGAAGTTATTTCATTGATCCGTACAGATGTAATAAGGTTTCTGACATTTAAAAAATTATGGTGTATATCATAATGCTGCAAACACAGTAGTTGCTGATTATCTGACTCTTAATCAATGCATAAACCGGAGGTCGCATAGTTGTATGTTAACTATGATGCCATACTGTGAGGGGAATTCCTCTTGAGACAAAGGCAAAACCTTGCAAACAATTAGTTTTTTCTGCTTCAGGTTGAAACCCCTCATTCAGATCTGTAGTTCTGTCGTTCATTTTTAAATGCTCCAAATCGACAAATGTTAATTTAAAAGCAAACTTCCTGAAATTCAAATGGCGGTTTGCATAAAATTTATTTTATCAAAAGAAAAAAAAAAAAAACATCTGGATGCATCTGGCAATTATTTGGGAAGAAAAGCATTAACTCTCTGTTAAATAATGCTTGGTTTGTGCTTTGCTGTAACATGCTTATCAGTTCTTCCTAAAATCTGCCAGTTTTTTTAGATTGTAATCCTCAAAGGCTGCTTTACTTTTCTTTGCAGATGGGTTTTAAGACGCATTGGAGGGTTTTTAAGCAGTTAGTATTTAAGTTTAGACTTGGACTAAGACATCTTATATTGTCTCATTAGTATAATAACTAAAATTGACTTATTTTGTATCTTTAACAAAAAAGAAACTTTTAAACCAAGTATATGATGTGGATGACAGAGTATGGATCAAATGCTCTTATCTTTTTATTTCACAAAAAACAAAACTTAAAATCTTTGTGTACAATTAAAAGCTGATTTGTTACATTGTAACTAATAAAAATGAAAAGTGAAAGTAACAAACATTGAAAGCCATATGAAAAAGGGTAAGACGTGATATAAAACAAACTAAATGCCAGCTGGGGTAACATAAAAGATTTCTCTATACAATTAAACATTGTGCTTTTTGTGGGTTGCATAGCTTCATAATCTCAAATATAGCCAGATCAGTAAGAAATAATAATTGAATATTATTAATCTCACATTGGAGAAATGTATCTGCATTTAACCATCCTCTCGGTGAGCAGTGGGCTGCCATTGTTCGGCGCGCAGCATCTCATAAACGTTTTAATTTTGGCAAAGTTACACTTATAAACAAAAAATTGAGCCATAAAAAGATTATAAAAAAAAGGGACTCTTTGGTTTTGTTCTCTATTACACCAGCAAATTTAATTACTTTGTAATATATAATAGGAATTTCTAAATTGTTTATCCTTCCCCAGCATAAGAAATTATTCCAAAATATTTTTAGAATAGTGCAGGATTATCCATCATGTTCTAACTATTTTACAGCTCTGGGAAGACTGTCCGAATAAGTTCACTATAAAGTCCACTATATAGTCCCCTGTTTTTAAGTTGTTAGTATTTGAGTTGAGACTTGGACTAAAACATTTCATATTGTCTCATGAGTATGATAACAAAAATGTACTTATTTTGTATCTTTAACAAAACAAGCTTACTTTTTAAACCAAACATATGACAGGGTTGACACAGAGTATAGATCAAATGCTATTATCTTTTTTTGATTTCACAAAAAATACATTTAAAAGCGTAGTGTACAATTGAAACCAGTTTTAGCAGATTTGTTACAATGTCAATAACGAAAATATAAACTAAAATTAACAACAAAAAAAAACATTAAAAACCATATAAAAAAGGGTTAAGGCACAAAATTAGACCATTTTACAGTTCTGTAAAAAACTGTCCGAACGAGTTCCCTATAAAGTCCATTATTTACTCCCCACTCTGGTAAGTCAACGTTGTTTCCGCTTTTGTTGAATTCTCGCGAGATGTCATGCAGCAGGAGAAAGAAAATGGAATCTCATGCTAGCATGGTAGCTTATCGAATATAGCAACTACTGAAGAACTGTAACATATAATTAAGGTATGCTATATTTCAGCTTTTTATGTTCCCAGACAACATCCTTAAACACAGCTGGGGTTTAGAGCAGACATTTGTTATGTGGCTCACTTTAACGGCTAGCTAGGCTAGCAGCAGACAACAATGTCGATCGCTTTAAACTACTAGCAATTCTCTTGTGGCCTAACGAAAAAACTCACCTATGTAGCGCAGATAACCCGTTTTGTATTCGCGGTTTTACGGCTGAATGCAATCTGTTATTTAAATGAACAACGCTAGTTTCATTACTACTTCTTAAATTAGTGTTAGCGTCGTTGAAAATGCACAATAAGAAGTGCGAACTGATACTAAGCTGTCTCTCCTAGTAAACATGGGGAAGCTTTACCTTAAAACCTGAGCTTGCAACACTCCAATAACATATATATATATATATATATATATATATATATATATATATATATATA